GCCAAGAGACCCAAAGTGAATGGTGACTCCTGATTGCTTCGCGGCGACACGAGGAACTGTGAGCCAAGAAGCAGCGGCATTGCTGCCTCTTTGGCCGCAACATGCGCTCGCACCGCACCAGCCATAGAGCACTCATCCGTGATGGCAAGCCCGCTGTAGCCAAGTTGCTTTGCGCGCTCTACCAACTCGCTAGGTGAACTTGCCCCTCGCAGGAACGTGAAGTGTGAGATACACCGCAGCTCTACGTATGACGGAATTGCAGGAGCAGCCTGGAGCATGACTGCGATAATACTGTTTTTTTATACAGTATCAAGCCATTTTTACTGGCGGGTACACGGTTTTCTCACGATGGCTTTCGTCGACCTGCCATCGCTGCCGGCAGAGTGGTCAAGTCGAAATGGACCGAGAGTTCTAGTGCGACCGCAGTACGCATTCCGTAACTTGGCGCTGCAGAAATACAGTGAGGGCAGCACTAGCGTGAGTTCGAACCTTCAGTATCGGAATACAGCCGCATGGCATAAATAGCGCCAACTTAGCTGCACAGCGACAAAACAGCCTCTAACTTAGCTGCACAGCGACAAAACAGCCTCTAACTTAGCTGCACAGCGACAAAACTGACCGGTAGGCAATCAAATTAAGCTGGGCGGCGATGTGTCCTTCGCATGCTCGGCCTAACCATAGAGTCTGCTTGACGTTGCAGGGCTACCTAGTGTGACTGTCAACAATATGGGGACATTCGTCCCCATATTGTGGACACCCCCTAAATCACTGCCGTTGACACAGTGAGTCGGCATAAGGCTTAGCTGAGTACCACAACCATCATTAAATTTTGCGAGCGCCCACACTAATCCTGTGATAAGCCTCTGGCGTGAACTTGACTGCTTGGATAGCTTCAATCTCTCAGCGAAAGCTATCAAGTAGTATTGCGGGCAAAATCCCGCAAAAAATCCATGACGCATACAAAGACTGAATCTTATGGAGGTCCCAGCAGCTTAGATGCTGGAACTGCCTTTCAAAGGCTTTTGACGATGGCGAAAGAATCCGACACCGGACAGGCAGGTCGAGTAGCCAGCTTTATTGCTGCAGTCATCGACATGAACAAGTTCGATTTGTATGATTTGCGACCTCTAGATGAGCGGATATCAGACGACATCCTTCTTTGTATCAATTTCATACGTTGGGGGAAGCTAGCACTGACCGATACAACGCCGCGAGGGATGGAACAGGCGATGGAAGTATGTGTTGTTTGGGGCTATGCGCGGCTTGAGTCGTAGACCAGCTGATATGAAGCCGCTAGACCTTAGGACCTGATTTTTATCCTTTTCGAAGAAGGGTGAGCACTTCCGTTCATAGAGGCGAGTGCTACCATTTTTCAATCTGCAATAGTTGGCAAATCTATTTACACAAGCAGATTTGCAATTAGTGAAGAAAGAGTGCCAAACAACTTCTCGTTTATCGCTCTTTGCCGCGACGCATTGAAGTGATAGCTAGACGAGTCTTCGCAACAACTGGATGGCGACGCAGTTTGGTTTAGCCAAAGTGCCCGTGAAGAAACCATGCTGTCTTGTCAGCGGCTAAACGTGCCTGAAACACCCATAGCAGGCCGGCATGCGGACTGAGGGCAAGGTAGTAGTCGCGTTGTACGTTAAGAGTGACTTCCTCATCGCTCTCTTTCACTCGGTGCCACCAACCTCCCTCAATTCGGTCTGGGCCTAGAAGCAACTGTAGTGGACCTTGGTAGTGTGGCCGGTTATCCCGCTCAATTAGGCGAAGGGGCTCAGCCAAAAGCCAAGTGGGCTGTGGAAGGTCGTACTCTGTGTACGAAGGGGCCTTCGTCGGCTTATCGACATTGCTGTGCGACCACGACTGGCAGTGCTCAAGGCGGTGGTCAGAGCAAGTTTGCGGTCGGCGGATGCACTCGTTTCCAAATCGGGCCTGCATGCGCTCCAGTGCCAGTGCGGTGGATGCTCCCCGACGATGTACCTCCGGTAGGAGGGAACGGCTCTCCTCGACGATGGGAAACACCTCTGTCGCCAAAAGCTCGATGTCACCCGCAGGCGCTAGCAGCGTGACTCTTGCCATATGCTCTGCAAGCAATTTACCTAAATGCTCGACATTCTGCGTGGGGATGGCTGTCCTGATGACCAGCTCGCCGCCAGTTCCTGCATCTTTCGCTCGCATGACGTCGTGACACCAGCGGAACGTATATGCGGTCGCACCGAGCCGTCTTGCTTGCAACCAACCGGACATCTGCAGCAGGAGCCTCCTGGCGCCAAACAACAGCGCGGGGGCACTCTCGACGCGCGACATCAGTTCAAGCCGCGCGTGAAAACTCTCGGGGACGGTGAGCCACGCGTAAGTCTCGGGCCGCAGCCCATAGGCTAAGTCTAGGGCGCGGAGCAGGTCCTTGCTGAACCGCCGACTGATGCCGCCCCGGGGCAATCTGCGTACGTCTCCAAGGGTGCGGCAGCCAACACGTGCGAGCGTCGCTTGGTGCTCCGCCACGGCAGTCAATGCAGTCAGGGGAAGCTTGTCGAGGACCTTTTGCCACAGGCGCTGGAAACCGTCAGAAACTTCGCAACGCGCTAGCGCAAGCGCTCCGAGCCCTGTTGGAGCCCACGCTACCCGGGCACCCAATTCCGCCGCGCCTTGCTCGACTCGCTCGCGTAGGCGTGCCATGCCTCCAAAAAGCCGAGCGCTGGCCTCCACTTCGACGAGGACGCATTCTTCGCACAGTGTGACCCTTGGCGCGAATTGGAGCGTCCATGTGCCGAGAGATGCCGCATCAATGGGCGACGCGGAATGCGGCAACTGGATTGGTAGCAGGGCTGCCCAATACATGGTGCATCTCCTGACGCGCACGCGCCGGGGCCGGCAGCTTTCGCAATCGCGGGGGAATGACGATATCCAAGTTGCCTGGCATCGCAAGCAACTCAAGAACACCATCGAACGTGGTACCGCGACGCTTGCGAATTCGCAGGTCAATGTTCCAGCCTGTGCCGAGTGCTACTGAAATGCGCAACGGGGCTGCAGAGGTGTCCCGTAGAGCCGTTTCTGGCCGAAAGACGAAAACAGGCGCATCACAGCTCTGCGCATGCACCTGCAGTCGGCGCAACTGCTCCGGCCGCGCCTGCGGAAGCCAGACCATCACGGCACCGCACGGGTCGGATTTGATGAGCTGCTCGACCACCCACAGCCGTTCTGCGGGCCCCTTGACCTCAATCCATACAAGCCGGTCCGGGGTCACACCAAGCTGTGCGAGCCCGGGGGCGTTAGGCTGCTTAGGGGGAGAGACGAGGTAGACGGTGCTTCCTTCCTCGGCCAGGAGCGATGGCACTGCTGGCCCCAGCAGGCGCCATTCGCAGATGGCGGACTGCGGGAGCAGCAGTTCGGTAAGACAGCGGGTTGGCCAGCCACCGCCGGGAAGCTCGGCATCAAGGACCTGAAAGCCGCTGCTGACAACGCGCGCATCCACCTTGCCCAGTTCTGTCCCACGCCATACGGCCTCCGCCACGTGCGCTGGCAGGCCTCTGGCGAGCTCTTCCGACGCAACGACTGCAGATGGGCCTGGCGAAGGCTTGGGGCCTTCTTGCCAAAGGGCGAGGGACGACATGGAGGATTGTAGAATTAACTGTATGAAAGCACAGTATATAGATGGAAATGTCAGCAGGTGTAGGCCGAAACACCTTGCCACCAGGGCCGTCGGGTGGGGCTTGCAGGTATTGATAGCAGCTGCGGCAGCAACGGCAAGCTCCGCCGCGATTGCAGGTTTCGAGAGGTGTCTCGAATTTTTTCCTCACCGTGCAATTCCTGAGTTGCCGGCTGGGTTTCCGCTGAAAACAAGGGAGATTTGCTTTTCTGACTTTGCCATCCTGTACTCAGGGGACTCGAAGACCCCGGTCTATGCAGTAGAGCGGTTGAACAAACAGCACTTAGCTCAAAAGGTCAAGCGCAAGGACAAGTTCTATGAGGAGGCTCGGCTGCCGAGCGGGGAGCGGTCAACCCTGGCCGACTACCAGGCCACCTATGACGGACGGAGGATGGACCGGGGGCACGTGGTGAGCGCAGCAGACCAATGGACCCAGCAAGGGATGGCGCAAAGCTTTTCGCTCGCGAACGTGGTGCCT